AAAATTAACCTTGAAGAAAGGGAACGAAGCACGACCACCGCCATGGGGACGCAGCAACACCGGTAGATCAGTATTCGCCTCCGAGGATGGATCAAAGCGAGGGCCCAGCAATCTGGTTCCACCACGGCTCCCACCTCCTGGTCTCAAGCGTACGATTGGGAAATCAAGAGGGGAACGACTCTCAAGCGATTTCCCACGGCTTCTTTATGTAGAGAGGGCGAGAGATGGAGGCAACGGGTCTGTGTTTTTCTTTTTGCTCGAAATGGATTGATTTTGGTAAGAGATGGAGGCGGTGGAAGGATTAGGATATATAAGTTGTGTCTGGAGCCAATTCCACCGCCTGATGAAGTAGGGTTGATTTGGGGGAAGGGCGGAAATCTGTTGATTGTTGAGAGAGAATGAGAGAGCGAGAAAAATTAGGGATAAACAGAAGAGGGTTGAACAGGAGAGGGTTGCCAGGCACGGGGAGAAGTGAAATATTTTCTTAGTAATTAATAATCAATACACATTTTTTTAACATAATCTTACTATAAAAAAATCGAATCGTGAAAAATAATATTAGACGAAATGGAATATAAATATAAATATATAGTAATAAGGGAGACAGTAACAGAATAACAAAAAACTACTTAAAAAGACGCGAAATGTGAAGCTTAAAATCAACGCAGGTACATATTATTTATAAATGTTGGGAGTCTGGATAAATAATATATCAATTTTGAGTGATTAAAGTGTAAATAATAAATGTGGGTATGTCGAATTTTGGAATTTTTTTTCTCATTGGAAGCTGAAAGATTTAAAAAAAAAAAAAAAAGGAGACATGATCTCCCCCTACGCACACGGGGAGTTGCTTCTCCCCCTGCACGTACGGGGAGATGCTGTCTCCCCGTACGAGCACAGGGAGATCCTGTGTCCCCGTGCACGTACGGGGAGACGCGCGCACGGTTCTCCCCCGTACGTTTTGCTCTGATTTATTACTATTTTCAACTCAATCATTCATTCACGAAAATATATTGAACATTCATGGACCTACTTAATATCAATATTCAAGAGTCAACAAATTCAAGTGAAACAAAAAACTCGTTTACCTGACAGGATGAAGCTGTAAGTTTTCTTTAACTTTACTCGAACTTGTAGTAGTAGATGCCATGCATCGCGGTTTATAAACTAAAGTTTTAATATCTAATACGAAAGAGAAATTGTACTGGAGAATAAAGAAGTTTGTGAGAATGACGACAAGTAATACTAAACAAAAATGACAAAATCGGAAGTACATAACAAAAAAAAAATATGATTTCAACACTCTCGACCAAAA